TTCTAGGACTACTCTATTTGGAACTTTGTCCTGCCATGCCAAGTGATAGCAAATATGCGTCAGAGACAACGCATATGGAATGTTTTCAGCTTCCTCTCCTGCCATGCACAAAGGGTCCAGGACTCAATGCAGTACACGGGTGTGCTCAGGACATAGGCTCTATAGACCTGGATCTTGGTATAGGCCGTCAACTTCTTATTAAGCCATATTCTGTTTGTGAGTCTAGAGGACATGGTAGCTGCTTTGTCAATGCGTTTATCCAGCTTGACATCTAGAGAGAGAGTGTCAGAGATCATTGAGCCAAGATACACAAAGTCATGAACAACCTCCAATTCTTATTTGGAGATGGTAATAGAGGGAGGTGACTCCACACCCTGGCCCATAACTTGTGTTTTCTTCAGGCTGAATGTTAATCCAAAGTTTTGACAGCCCTTGCTAAAGTGATTCATGAGTTGTTGAAAGTGTTTAGCAAGGTGGGAACAACAGCTACGTCATCAGCGAAGAGGAAGTCCCACAGGCATTTCAGCTGGACTTTGGTCATCGCTCTCAATCTAGAGAGATTATACAGTAGAGCTTTCCATCTGATCTAGTCCAAAGATAGACACCTTCTGTTGCAGTTCCAAAGGCCTGCTTCAGCATGATGGCAAAAAAGATCCCAAACAGAGTTGGCACGAGGACACAGCCCTGTTTCACTCCGCTTCGGATGTCAAAGGGATCTGATGTTGAGACAACAAAAACTACGGTGCCCTTCATTTCCTCATGAAAGAACCTGATGATTTTAAGGAGTCTAGGTGGACATCCAATCTTGGGAAAGATTTTAAAAAAACCATGCCTGCTAACCAAATCAAAGGCCTTTGTGAGATCTATGAAGGCAACAGAGTGGCTGTTGTTGTTCCCTACATTTCTCCTGCAACTGTCTGAGGGAAAATACCATGTCAGTGGTGGATCTATTAACTCAAAATCCACACTGTGATTCTGGATAGACTCTGTCTGCAAGCACCTGGAGTCAGCACATCATGGGTAAACAGCTTCCCTACAACGCTGAGAAGAGAGATGCCACAGTAATTATTGCATTCGCCCCTGTCTCCTTTGTTCCTATACAATGTGACAGTGTTTGCATCCTTCATGTCCTGTGGTACTCCACGTTCCCTCCAGCAAAGACAAAAGATTTTATACAGCTCAGTGGTAGTTATCTCTTTACAGCACTTCAGCAGGGATGTTATCCTTCCCAGGTACCTTGCTGGAGGTGAGGGTATCCAAGGCCACTTTTATTTCTGCTAAAGTTGGTTTGCTGTCCAACTCTTCCAAGGCAGGCATGCACTCAATGTTATTTAGTGCCTCTTCGGTTACTTCATTCTCTCTGGAATATAGCTCACAGTAGTGCTGCACCCAGTGTTCCATCTGCTGTGCTCGGTCCTGGATGATCATGCCAACCATGAAAACAACCATAGTGCAACAAAAAAGCATATAAAAGCAAGCAAACAAGAACATAGCCAATAATTAATAAACGGTGGAGTTTTGCATGTTCCCCAGATCTGTACCTTGTTCTAAGATACCATTGATCTTTTCAGTTACTTTCCCCTCTCCCTATATAGTGTAGAAAAGGTTCTAC